GCCGGAGTCCCAATGAAGACTACCCCTCTAGTAACTCCAATAGCCACTCAACCGTCGTTCCCCTCTCGACTTGCAACTTTGAAGAAGAAAATGGAGGAGAAAGAGATTTTGGACACCTTTCGAAAGGTGGAAGTAAATATCCCTCTACTTGATGCAATCAAGAAAAACCTTAGATATGCAAAGTTTTTGAAAGAACTTTGTACCAACAAGAGGAAGTTGGAGGGAAATTAGAAAATTTTCATGAATGAAAACGTATTCGCGGTTTTACATATGAAGCTTCCACCTAAGTGCAAAAATCTGGGAATGTTTATGGTTCCTTGAAAGATAGGAGATGTCACTTTTAGTAGTTCCATGCTTGACCTTGGTGCTTCTGTTAATTCCATACCCTATTCGGTGTATGAATCATTGAATGTTGGTACTTTAAGTGAAACCAGTGCTATAATCTCTCTTGAGGATAAATCAAGTGTCTTTACTAAAGGTGTTCTGGAAGATGTCCTAGTACACGTAAACGAACTGGTCTTCCCGGTGGATTTCTACGTGATTGATCTAGATGAACAGGTGTCTTCAAAGTCAGGTATAATTCTACTTGGGAGACCATTTTTTAAGACATCTAGAACGAAGATTGATGTGTATGCTGGAAGCTTAACGATGGAGTTTGATGGGGAGACAAATAAGTTTTAACATCTACGATGCTATGAGATATCCTAGTGATGTTCTATCTTTGTGTTTTGTTGATTTTATTGAACCATTAACCCAAGAGTTGTACGAGTCGTCTAATGGTGACATGTTGGAGATGGTTTTGAGCAAAGGATTTGATTGTGGAAAATTAGCCACGAAGTTAAAGCTCTACTCACTAGACCCCGAAGTTGAAAGATTGGTTAACAGTTTGGAGATCAAGAAAACCACTCAATTTAATGTGAAGCAAATTGAATTACCTCAAACTCACACAAGATTGCCACCCTCCCTTATTCAACCACCGAAATTAGAATAGAAGGTCCTTCCTCAACATTTGAAGTATGCGTACTTGGGAAACAACGAGACTCTTCCGGTCATCATTTCAACTCACTTAGCTGAATTCGAAGAAGAGAAACTTCTCAAGGTGTTAAAGGAGGATAAAGAAGCCATGGGTTGGACAATTGCGGATATCAAAGGGTTTAGTCCCTCCACTTGTATACAAAAGATCTTGATGGATGATGAATGCAAGCAAAGTCGGGACGCGCAAAGAAGGTTGAACCCGCCAATGATGGAAATGGTCAAGAAAGAGATTTTGAAGATGTGGGGATGATCTATCCGATTTCGAATAGTAAGTGGGTGAGCCCGGTGCAAGTCGTTCCAAAGAAGACGAGAATCACAATGGTCGAGAACAACAAAGGTATGATGGTTCCCACCCGTATGCCAAACGGTTGGAGAGTAGGTATTGACTACCGCAAACTCAATGCAAGCACACAAAAGGATCATTTTCTATTACCTTTCATTGATCAAATGTTAGAAAGGGTGGCCGAGAAACCCCATTAATATTGTCTAGACGGGTACTCTAGTTTTTACCAAATCTCGGTGGCACCGGAAGACCAAGAAAAGACAACATTTACATGTCCATTTGGCACTTTTACATACCGGAGAATGTCATTCGGATTATGTAATGCTGCGGCCACTTTACAAAGTTGCATGATTAGTATCTTTTCGGAGTATGTTGAAAATATCATTGAAATCTTCATGGACGATTTTACGGTATATGGAAACTCCTTTCAAGAGTGTTTGACCAATCTCACCAAAATTTTGAAAAGATGTATTGAAAAAAATTTGGTTTTAAATTTTGAAAAATGCCATTTTATGGTGAGTCAAGGTCTGATTTTGGATCACATTTTGTCAAGGAAAGGAATTGAGGTAGATAAGGCAAAGATTGATGTTATTCAAAGCTTACCTTTCCCGAATTGTGTTCGGGAAGTTCGTTCTTTTTTGGGCCATGTAGGTTTCTACCGGAGATTCATCAAGAACTTTTCAAAGATAACAAGACCAATGTGCCAACTCTTGAAAAAGGATGTTGATTTCAAATTTAATGAGGCATGCAAAGAATCTTTCGACAAGCTCAAAGAGTTGCTTACATCCGGTCCCATCATGCAAGCACCAAATTGGGATCTCCCCTTTGAGATCATGTAGGATGCAAGCAATTATGCAATAGGCACCATTTTCGGTCAAAAGAATGGACGAGCCTCCCATGTGATCTACTATGCATCGAGAACAGTAGACAATGCTCAAAGAAACTACTCTACCAAGGAGAAGGAGCTATTGACAATAGTGTTCGCTTTGGAGAAGTTTAGGCAGTATTTACTTGGCACCAAAGTTATCGTGTATTCGGATCACGCAACTCTCAAGTACTTAATGACAAAGAAAGATGCAAAGCCAAGACTCATCCGATGGATTTTACTATTACAAGAATTTAATTTGGAAATCCAGGGCAAGAGTTGATGCGATAATCTTGTTGTCGATCACCTAAGCCAGATTAATTCAAATGAGACTCCTCTCCCGTTGCGGGACGAGTTTCCGGATGAGCATCTATTTTCCCTTATTCAATCTACTCCTTGGTATGTCGATATCGTTAATTTCTGGTCACAAAAAGGTATCCTGACACATTCTCACGTGCTCAAAAAGACAAGCTCAAAAGTGATGCAAAATACTATGTGTGGGATGAACCTTACTTGTGGAAATATTGTCTCGATTAAATAATTAGGCGATGTGTACCCCAACAAGAGCATCAATCCATTCTGCAATTTTATCATGAATTTGCTTGTGGGGGACGCTTCGTACCTAGCCATACCTTGAGAAAGGTCCTTGAGTGTGGAATATTTTGGTCAACCATGTCACGTGATTGTTACTTGTTTTGAAAAAGTTGTGAACGGTGCCAAAGGACGGGGAACATTTCACAAAAAAATCTAATGCCACAAAATCCAATCCTTGTTTGTGAAAATTTTGACGTATGGGGGATTGATTTCATGAGCCCATTTCCCGTTTCGTTTGGCAACGTTTACATCTTGCTCGCAGTTGACTATGTTTCTAAGTGGGCTGAGGCTAAAGCCACAAGATTGATTGATGCCAAAACAGTTATCGACTTTTTAAAATCTAATGTCTTTGTGAGGTTTTGTGTGCCTAGGGCATTGATCAGTGACCGAGGAACGTACTTCTGCAACAAGATGATGGAGGCTTTATTGAAGAAGTACAATGTAACGCATCATGTTTCAACCACCTGCCACCCTCAAACAAATGGTCAAGCGGAAGTTTCAAATCGTGAGGTGAAGAGTATACTTGAGAAAATGGTAAATCTTTCAAGGAAAGATTGGAGTTCGAGATTGGATGATGCCTTGTGGGACTATCAGACCACGTATAGACTCTGATAGGAATGTCTCCATTTAGTTTGTTTTTGGAAAACCATATCATCTTCCTGTATAATTGGAACACCATGCATTTTTGGCGGTCAAGCAATTTAACTTCAACATCGATGAGGCGAGAAGGCATAGGAAGCATCAAATTCAAGTGTTGGAGGAGTTAAGAAATGACTCCTATGAGAACTCAAGAATTTACAAGGAGAAAATGAAGCTTTTCCATGACAAGTACATTACACGCAAGCATTTTGAGCCGGGACATAGGGTTTTGCTTTACCACTTGAGACTGAAATTATTTCCCGGAAAGTTGAGGTCAAGATGGATATGTCCATTTGTTGTACCAAAAGTCTTTGAGCACGGATCAGTTTAGATCAAAAGTGAAGAAACGTGGAAAATCTTTAAGATCAATGGGCATCGTTTGAAACCTTTCTATGAAGGTTTCAATGCGAATGTCCTAGATGTCATCCAATTGGATGCCCCGGTATACTGAATCGAAAGGGAAGGATGTCTCGCCAAAGACGCTAAAGAAGGGAATTTTTGGAAAACCTAAAGTTTTCTTCATTTCTAGTCCCAAATAAATGTCTTAGATAGATCATTTTTGCATTTAGAATTTCTTCTTCTTCCTTCTTGCAGTACAAAAGTGTTTGATTTTAAGGCACAGTGTTCATTTCGGTCAAAGGATGAAAATTGAGGAAATTACAGCATGTTACACGTGGACCGCGTGTACCCTCTTAGCCGACCACGTGTAGTCGTATGAATGTATGCGTGAATAAGAAAACAGACCACCTGTACCATATTAGTCGACCGCATCTGGTGAATGAAAATCAGATAATTCCAGACATATTCATGCAAACTGCATGTACTCGCGGCCGCGTGACATGTTCACTGACGTTGACTCAAGTTTGACCGCATTTGACCATGAATTAACCCAATAAAACACCCCAGTCAGCCCTTTTCTTCCCTTATTCTTCTTATACTTCTCCTCCCTATCTCCACCACAAAAACTTGATTTCCCATCAAACCACCAGTCGGAATTTCATGACACCACTGCCATTCTTCACCATTTATCGAGCTCTACAAACCCCACCCAAAATCTGGTCCAATCCGACATTGCAATTCCAGGCGCCACCACCACCATCTCGCCACTTTCCGGCTATTTTTCGGCCAACTCCGACCATCTCTCGCGATTCCGACACCACCATTGTGCTCTTCTTGGTAAAAGCTACAAACCCCACTAAAAATATCTCTCAAACCTCATCGGAAAATTTCGCCGAAATCCCAACCCGTTGTCGGATTTCTCGGGTTTTCGTGGTGAAGTTTTTCTCACAGGATATTGAACAACGCTTGAAGCTTGGGGTGGAGACTTGAAAGATTTTCAAATCCCGAATTTTCGCACGTAAAAATCTTACAGGCAATTTTTTTCTTGACTTTAATTGACCAAGATACTAGTTTCAGAACAACAATTTATATGGCATCACATCATTTGAGTCTTGATAATGTTTCTTGCATTGAGTGTTGAATCGTTTTAGAAGTCCATAGGAGTCGACTGGTGATTGAAATTGAAATACCATTTTTTGGGATTGTGGTTCGTGTTGTTGTTATATTCTTTGTTGCAGGTATACCATGTTCATGTCTAGAAAACGCCTAGCTACCGCCCGAGGAAAAGCCCCAGCTAGAAATCAAAATGATGCACCCGACATTCCAAGATTTCGGGATGCCACGGCGGCCGAAAATTACATGAAAAGCCTGCCTAGAAAGGTTGCATCCACCAAATTTGTGTGCAAATCCACGCTTATCTCATTTGGGGTTCTTGAAGGGGTCACCCAATTGTTCCCTAACATCGGGTGGGAAAACCTTCTCAATCTCATGGTACACACTTACGAGCTCCCCGTTATAGAGTTTCTTTCCGATTGCCGGTTAGATAACAAAAACAAAAAAGCCGCATTCCAACTTCTAGAGGACCGAAGGTACATTGATTTTGCAGTAATAAACGACATCTTGGGCTTGTCCTCTTCGAACACATCCACGGTTTTCAACGTCTTACCTGCCGAGTTCAACCATGAGACCTTTTGGACAGAAATCACTAGGGGTATTTTTATATGTGCCGGTCAGGATAAACCAACCTCCATCATTCAACCGTGCCTCCGTATTTCGCATCGCATCTTGGTGTGCACTGTCTTTGCCCGTAAAGAAGCCGCCAGGTCACCAAAAATGAGCTTTTTTTCATTTGGTGCATGACACGACGTGAAAACCCACCAATCCCAAAATTTGCTACATTCTTTTTCTATAAATGCACAGTTATGTGAACCAAAGCATCCGGTGATATTTGCATCAGTGGTTTTGTCACCCTTTTAGCCCGTGGTCTTGTTATCAAAGTTCTAGATGAATGCCAGCCTGTTGACAATAAAACTCTTTTGGATGAACGTGCTCTCACAAATACGCACCACACCCGTCGCCGACGCAGGAAAAGTTTCACATGGTATTGTCCTCAAAGGGTTGGATATATTGTTCTCCCCGACCCTTGATTCTCCAACTTCATCCCCCATGATCGCACTCAACGGAGACTTGCGAGGGCCATCACTCAGTCAGTCAATGAGGATGCGCTCTAGGTTTAAGATGACATCGAGATGCACGCAGATGAGGAGTTTGGTGATGAGCACACCCATGGCCCATAGCAAGCCCAGTCCCAAGCACCTCCCAGATACTACCCGCTTCCCCCTAATTTTGTCGAACGGTTCGAGACTCTTTTTGTCTACAACCAAATCATGTCCCAACAAATGCACCATATGTGGGGGTGGCATCAATCACAAAACCATTTTGAGAACGTCCCACATCCTCCTCCCTATCCATACCCTCCACCCTCCCACCCTTATCCACCTCCACCTTACCCCTACCCTTACCGCCATTACCCATACCCTCCTTCAGATCCCCCGGTTTAGGTACTTTCTCCTCGCCCCAAGTATTAAGAACAATGCTTATTTCTAAGCTTGGGGTGGGGTACTTCCTTTTCTTTTTGATTTCTCATGCATTTTAATTAGGTTGCATAAATTTTAACCTTAAATTACATTCATTTTTTTATATAAAACTCCAAAAAAGATTTGATTTTCTTCTTTTTCCCTTTTTTATTTTTCCATAACATTTAGCTTAGGGCATAACCATTCATGAACTTTTGTTATCTCTTTATTCTCATCTCCGAACATCTTTACCTGAAAAACACGACACACCTTAAACATAATTCTTTTGGAAACTCACATAACAAATCAGAATTGCTCTTGTGGACTTTCAGTTGTTGCTTATTCTCTTATATATATACGTGGGGAGAAAGTGCATATGAACCAAGATATGTCAAGTGCGGCATAAGTAGGGGGACAACTTATCCTCAAGCCGACTATTCCCTCACTTGAATTTTCCTCACAAGCCACAATCAAACCCCAAAGAAAGGAATAATAGCTAAAGTTTGCTATTTTGAGATCTTTAGTGTTTAACTGTTACAATTCACATCATATCTCATTACCTTATGATTTAGACACATTTTCCACTCAATCTCAAATTATCCTTAGTGTAGTTGTGCTCGTTTGGCCTCTTATTTGGGCTAGATTTAGATTACGCTTATACTTATATAGTTATGTTTTGTATTTTTTTTATTTTTGGGTTATTCTTCTAAAACTCCCGTGGTAAACCCAAAAAAGTGAGCCAAAAAAATTCAATAAAGTTTAGTATTTAGTTTGTGTACGTGAAATTTCATATGTAACCAACTTGTTTAGAGAAGTCAAATTTTGATCTTTCATGAGATTTGAATGTAACGACGAGAATTGCCATAACAATTTTTCATTTTTCAACACAATAAAAATCATATAATATTTCCAAATCTCACGTTTTCAATTGTCATCACAAATAAACATATCCCAGAATCTCAAAAAAACATAATCTCCTGCCAGTGTGTACAAAAATCATGTCGGCACCTTCCCGCGATCCTCGCTAGTACCTGAAACACATAACACATAACACGGTAAGCATAAATGCTTAGTGAGTTCCCTAAAATACCACATACAACACATATTATCCACTCGATGCTATAACTCTGTATGACCCTCTGATCAATGTGACTCAGTGGGATCCTCCAGTCCCATAACTCTATGGACCCTCTGGTCCTAACTCTATGGACCTTCCTGACCTAACTCTATAAAATCTGAATCATACATAGCACAAATCACATAGAAATCACATCATACAAAAGCATACAAGATACTCGGTCACATAACTCTAATTACCACTCTAGGTAAAGTCAACTGAAAGTCAACTGAAGTCAATAGTCCATACTAACTAGAATCGTCGAGTTCATGCGACTACTCGGCGAGTCCATACACGTACTCACATTCCTTCCCAAGGTCTCACTCGACTCACTGAGTCACTCACCTAACTCGTCGGGTCACCAATGGCCACGAATCGCGGGCAACCTGGTCCGAGACATCGCGTCTACCAATGGACTCTGCGAGTTTCCCCCATGCTCATGATCAATCGACCCTCTGAGGTCAGATCTTCTTCACCAACCTATATATCTGGCCTCCCAGAACCCAAAAGTCACATAAAGGTTAGAACTTTAGGTCCATACATCACACTATCATCTCTATATGCCAAAATAACCCTTAATATGATAACCTAGGCCCCAAAACTCATAAAGGATTGCATAAAGTTGAAGAATAGGGATTCTCTGGACCTCTCAAGGTCCAGATCTGATAATATTATCACAAAGGGACATCACAAACACTAGATCTCTACCAAAAATGAAGAGAAGAAACCCTAGATTCATGAAATCTATTACTCAAATGAAGATAGACATGAATCCATACCTCCCACAACAGCTCTAAACGAAATGATGGTAGATTAGAGTCCCACAAGTTGGCCTAGCTTGAAATCGTTCCCTCCCTTTGCAAAAACACACCAAAAAATGATGAATTAGCCCTCCTCTTACTCTACAAGCATTCTCTATGCTCTCTAGGGTTTCTCAGAGGTGTAGTGGCCACAAATGAAGGCTATAAGGGCCTTTAAATAGGCTCCATACCCGGGAATTAGGGTTTTCTTCTTCAGCACCAACTCATTGAGTCAGATACCCGACTCTCCGAGTCCGATTGCTAAACACGTCAAAGGATCCCGATCCTACTCTATAAGTTGAGCAACCAAGTTGTCGAGTCCCTTCGAAATTCCCAAAAATAAATATTTAAAATTGCATACCCGCAAACCCGGATATTACGTTGAACCTATGTTTGCTGGTTCTAGTCTTTAAAAGTTAAAAAAAAAACAAAAAAAAACAAAAAAAAACAAAAAAAGTTTTGAAAAGTTGGATATTATCGCAATCATAAAATGTGAATGTAATTATATATTGTTTAAGTGCTTTCCTCTTTGTTTCTTAAGTTATTGTATTTGTAATATGTATTTGGGGTTTTGTTGTCCAAAAAAAATAATAAAATAAAAAAAATTATATATATAAATAATAATAATAATAATAATAATAATAATAATAATAATAATAATAATAATAATAAAGAGAGAAAAAAAGGATCGGGCCACGAAGTTGTATCCATTGTTTGCTTTTGTAAATGTTTAGTTTTTCAGATTCTATCTCACGTAATTAGTTTCTAGTTTGATGTTTTTTCTAGTTAGATATCATTTTTGTTGGCAACTACGATGATGCCTTTTCTCATCATGTGCTCGATTCTTCGCTTTGCATGATCTTGTTTTGGTGGAAGCACTTATTCTTCTAGATGATGATGGTTTGCCAACCTTTGTACATAGCTCGTTCTTTGCCATTTTTGGCCCGAGTTATCTTTTTGCTAGGTTTATTTCTTGGCGTGGGGTTGAAGTTGTGAGGAGTGAGGAACATTCTAACCAAGTGACACTTTCTTATGGCTAGTGGGCTAGATCGGACCACGAAACAATGTCACATAAACCATACTAGTGAAGTATGCATGCTTGTTTTGCATCTTGATCAACATGTATCCCTTGCTAGAAAGGTAACAAAGGCTCATCCCTCAAAGTGATTTTTATCCCTAAAAATGGATTATATGTCTTTATTTTAAGGGCGTGTCGTGAATTTCTGCCTAAGATGTTCATTCTTTTTCTAGGATAGTTCATCCCAAGTTAATTTTAGTCTTGTCTTACTTGAGGACAATTAAGGTTTAAGCTTGGGGTGATTTGATAATTTCGTTTTGATTACTTCTTTTTGTAGTTTGTTTTTAGTTAAAACCATCTCATTTTAGTTAATCTTCATGCATATTTTCCCATTTTATTATTTTTCTCCTTTACCGGGTGCTTTCCAGTCTTTTGAGCTTATTTGTAGGATTTTTCGAAGACTTTTTATTATTGGAGGCGTGGAAGGAATGCGGGACTGTTGGAGGCTTGCAATTTTTTCATTAGCTTGAAGTGGTGCAATTGGGCTTGGTGTCAATATAAGTAAGAAGCGCGTTAGACTTAAATTTTGGGTTGGACGACGAGAATTTGAGCTATAAAAGATTAAAGGAGCACTGGATCCTCTTGGAAGGGCTTTGGATTTCTGCATTTGGGCTATCAAGAATTTCCACAAATGGGCCGGAGCATAAATTAAAAGATTGGGCTGGATGGTACTCAGAAATGGGACAAGGGATGATTGCAGCATGACCCACGCGGTCCACGTGGATCCACACGCGATCCGCATGAAGAATGGAGAATTGAATCCGGGTTTGACTTGTTGACTCTATTTGTGGAAAGTTGGTGGGTGGCCTTTAGCACCTTTTTAAATTCGGAAATGAGACCCTTTTTGCTGAAGATTAGAGGCATTATTCTCATCAACACTCTCAAGAACAACTCTTTTTGCTCTCAAGAAAACTTGGGAAGAAATTTAAGAATTTGAAGATTGGTGTTGTTTTCTTTCCATATTGCACTTAGAACAATGTTTGGTATTTCTAATCTACCATGTATTTCTTTTATTTTGTCCATGCTGGCTAAATTCTCATTTTGTTGATTAGGGTTTAATCTTATGGATGATTAGTTGTTTTGAAAACTATTATTAGCTTGTGTTTGAAGTTTATGGAAATGGTTTTTAGTTAAACATTTTGTTATGTTTTTTATCTTTGATCATGAGCTTGGATGAATAAACATATTTTTTTGTTGATCAATTTATTGGTTAAGTAATGGACTTTGAAATTGGTAAGCAACAAATGGTTTCTATGTTTGTTTTCATTTCATTTAAACCATGGGAATGTTTCGTCCATAATGATAATGTAAGCATTTAATTATCTTTTGGACTTGGTAACTCTTAGAACTTAAAGCTAATTGATTTTCACAATATTATATGCTTCATTAATTTTGTGACTTTAATTAAGGAAATGTGTTAAGAGCTTCTCTAGCCCTTTTAATATCAATGAAGAGTTGATGTAATTTGTGCTTATGGATTGCTATAGCGAAGTTAAATTAATTCACAAGTGTTATTCCATTTAGTGTAATGATAAGTCAACCATGTCATCCATGTGGTGTATCCCAAAATCAACCA